ACCCCTCTTTGTCACAAGCTGAATTTTTCAGAGATAAAAGGTAATGATAAGGTAACCCTTATTCCGGAGGTAACACAAAATTAGACTGTGCAGAAGGGCACTATCATCAAAAATCCAGATACTGATACCGCCGAATAAAAAAAATGTTTATTTTTTGGTCCAATGCACAATAAAATCTTTGTAAGGAGTAATTTTTTATACTTATTTAAAAAAAAATTCAGCCCTTCAAAAATTTGTTTAAAAAGTCATTTTTTTAAATATAATTTTATCATTTAACAAAAAGGAAGGCCCTAATGAAAAACGTAGTATAGCTCTGTTTCTCTCTACGTGTCGGCTGATGCATCACATTATTAATATGCTATGATTTTTTAAATTTTTTTTTATAAAACTTTTCGTTAGGTGCCAATGGACAAAGTGTCATATTGTCTGTTTTTACTAAAAAATTAATAAGTGTGTTACATATTAAAGTTCCTAATAAATTGGGAAGAAATATAGACATTTTTTAGGTTTTTATTACATCGACATTCATCCTGTTATAGCTGAATGTCTGAATATATGTGAGTAAGTTGGGTAAGTTTTCGTTAAACATTACGGATTTGTTGTTGCAAGAAGCAAACACAAAAATGATATCAAAATATGACTTCTTAATCCTTGCATGGTCAATAGTTTCTTCACAATATTTTATTAGCAGAGGATATGGACAGAAGCATTAGGTAATTATGCCGAAATATTTAAGTTTGATCTGACAGCCTTCTCCCATGTCTCTAACAGTAAATGGGTATCTCGGCACCTCTACAAATAAGAGTTTATTGGGAAATATTTTAGAGCAATATGACCCACAAAGACTTACCTGCACCTAGGTGATCTTGCAAAACTGTCACATTTTTGATCTGATAGCAATAGCTCAAGGTTTGGGAATGTCCAAAAGTTGCATATCATTTAAAGAATATGCTAATATATTTGTAAAGATTATTTTTAAAAATAAATTTAATGCTCAAAGGATAGATGTGGTATTTAATCATTATAAATAAAATTCTATCAAAAATACACGTCAAAAGAGATGATCCCAGAAATCAATTGATATAGAAATTGACAGACCCAATATTCTACTTCCAGAATAATGAAACTTATTCATTCATTCGATATTTAATAAAAGATGTTTAACACATTTTCTGTCACAGCAACTTCTTGAAAATTTGTATCTAGTGATGGATTCGCGAGTATCAATAAATATGGGATGAATTTTGAATCATCGAAAGACGATTTCTAAAATTTAAATCTTGAAGAAGCTGATACTCGTATCTTATTGCACCTATTATCAGCCAGAAATTCGGAAAATTCACGCTGCATTATTGATTGCAACGATACAGATTTTCTAGTCTTATTAATTTATTTTAAGTAGTTTTGAACTAAAAAGATATGGTTCATAATAGAGCGAGGAGACTCGTGACGATTTATAACAGTACATGATTTAAATTTGGATAAAAAAACTTTGAAAAAATTTGCCTTCTTTTTATTCTGTGACAGGTCGTAATAAATCCAACCAATTGTCTGGCGTTGGAAAACCTACCTTGAACACCATCACCTTTTGGATGGAGTTGGCACTGATTCGTAGGTACTCTGAAAACACATTCTCTAATCTTGAAAAATTTTTCATCAAACTGTATTCAAAAACTGCCAATGTTACTTCCATTAACATTTTGAGGAGATTAATGGTTCCTTTAAAATAATTGCTAAATTACCATTGACTGAAGACGCCCTAAGATTACTTTGTTTAAGATGTTTTTACCAGCTAAGTAATTGGCTAAGCTCTTTAAAGACCCAGATGCAGCTTCCTAATGTTGATCGGTATTCTCGGGTAATACTTCGAGAAATCAAACATGCTTTAGAGTTGGTTATTAAGTTTTTAAGGCTAGATACTACTTGATAAAATAAAATATTGTTTTATGCTTCAAAATATGTTGAATGTTTCAACAATGGTCTTAAACAAACCATTAGAGATGGAGTTTAATTCAGAATGCCCCGTATTTTCAATATACAACTCAAATAACAGTTACCAATGTCGCTTTTACTAGTTTTATATTCCCAAAGTGGAATTCGTAGCGGATGTGCATGCAGTTGTTTTCTAATCAACATAGCATTAGTACCGTCACTTCGCTGGTCTGGATGTTTCGGTATAGTATCGCTTAATGCAAAAACTTTTCCTTCAAACTCAAACCACGTTCTACTGGGACTTACAATTTCCATTTTCAATTTTAAGGTGGTGCACTTCGCTTAAATTTTATGCGTCTCTTCGGTGAAATTCTGTGGTATTGGCTTAGTTAAGGGAACAAAGGGATAATATTATTTATTTGTAGACCGCCTAATAGTGAATCATTTACAGGGTGGGACCACTAATATCTTCGACCTTACATAGGCATTAATATAATATATAATATGTAACAGTAATATACGCATAAAAGTATATCGTTTCGTTGCAATCATTTTTAATTCATAAGAATAAATCCTAAAGATTTATAAGATACTTTAATAATGTTTTTAGGTATATAATGAGCACATATAGGTTAACTAACAAAATCTAACTCTTCAATTTTTCCAAATTATTACTATTGATGTTGTAATTCTAATGAATATAGTTAAATATGAAATAAATAAACTTACATTTGTTGATGTTATTTTAATTTAAATCTAAGTAATTTATTAAGGCCACTCTCATTTTTTTCATAGCCATTTTAACAATCTTTTCTTGAATATAGTTTAGGATCATCTACTCGTATATACAGAAGCACTCTACACATCGAATCAAGAGTAATATAATTTTTAAATATTATAATTAACAATGGTCCAAGGATGGATCCTTGGGGTATCACAGGACTAGCATGCATTTTGATAGACTTAAATCGCTGATACTAAGATTGTATCAGTAATGCTTTTTTACAAGATAAAGTTAAAATCTCCACCGATGATGATGATGATTTTAAACTTTTTTACACAATAATTTGTTCTATGAATATTTATGAATATTTATGAATATTTATGAATATTTATGAATATTTATGAATATTTATGAATATTTATGAATATTTATGAATATTTATGAATATTTATGAATATTTATGAATATTTATGAATATTTATGAATATTTATGAATATTTATGAATATTTATGAATATTTATGAATATTTATGAATATTTATGAATATTTATGAATATTTATGAATATTTATGAATATTTATGAATATTTATGAATATTTATGAATATTTATGAATATTTATGAATATTTATGAATATTTATGAATATTTATGAATATTTATGAATATTTATGAATATTTATGAATATTTATGAATATTTATGAATATTTATGAATATTTATGAATATTTATGAATATTTATGAATATTTATGAATATTTATGAATATTTATGAATATTTATGAATATTTATGAATATTTATGAATATTTATGAATATTTATGAATATTTATGAATATTTATGAATATTTATGAATATTTATGAATATTTATGAATATTTATGAATATTTATGAATATTTATGAATATTTATGAATATTTATGAATATTTATGAATATTTATGAATATTTATGAATATTTATGAATATTTATGAATATTTATGAATATTTATGAATATTTATGAATATTTATGAATATTTATGAATATTTATGAATATTTATGAATATTTATGAATATTTATGAATATTTATGAATATTTATGAATATTTATGAATATTTATGAATATTTATGAATATTTATGAATATTTATGAATATTTATGAATATTTATGAATATTTATGAATATTTATGAATATTTATGAATATTTATGAATATTTATGAATATTTATGAATATTTATGAATATTTATGAATATTTATGAATATTTATGAATATTTATGAATATTTATGAATATTTATGAATATTTATGAATATTTATGAATATTTATGAATATTTATGAATATTTATGAATATTTATGAATATTTATGAATATTTATAAATATTTATGAATATTTATGAATATTTATGAATATTTATGAATATTTATGAATATTTATGAATATTTATGAATATTTATGAATATTTATGAATATTTATGAATATTTATGAATATTTATGAATATTTATGAATATTTATGAATATTTATGAATATTTATGAATATTTATGAATATTTATGAATATTTATGAATATTTATGAATATTTATGAATATTTATGAATATTTATGAATATTTATGAATATTTATGAATATTTATGAATATTTATGAATATTTATGAATATTTATGAATATTTATGAATATTTATGAATATTTATGAATATTTATGAATATTTATGAATATTTATGAATATTTATGAATATTTATGAATATTTATGAATATTTATAAATATTTATGATTTAATATTTATAAATATTTACGAATATTTATGAATATTATTGAATATTCACGAATATTTACAAATATTTAGGAATATTTATAAATAAATATAAATATTCACGAATATTTACGAATATTGGCAAATATTTACGAATATTTACGAAGGTTTACGAATATTTACGAAGGTTTACGAATATTCACGGATATTTACGATTATTTACGAATATTTACGAATATTTACGAATATTTACGAATATTTACGAATATTTACGAATATTTACGAATATTTACGAATATTTACGAATATTTACGAATATTTAAGAATATTTACGAATATTTACGAATATTTACGAATATTTACGAATATTTACGAATATTTACGAATATTTACGAATATTTACGAATATTTACGAATATTTACGAATATTTACGAATATTTACGAATATTTACGAATATTTACGAATATTTACGAATATTTACGAATATTTACGAATATTTACGAATATTTACGAATATTTACAAATAATTATTTTTATGAATATTTTTAAATCTTTACAAACACGTACTTAATTTATTTACAATATTTTTTATTATTTCAGACGTTTCGACATGGCTTCCCCTTCCAACCTACGGCTATGGCGTACGATCCAGTACAGAGGCTGTTGGCCATCGGTTCCAAATGCGGTTCACTTCGAATGTATCCTTTTTTTTTATAAAAAAATATTTATAGTACTTTAAACGAATTTAAATAAACAACCAAAATTCAGGTAAGTCTATAAACAATTTTGATTACGAAGTTTTTTTTTAAATTTTCCAGTCTGGGAAGGGGACACCGAAAGGGAAGATTTTCTTTTCAGAGATGTTCGTTTGTGCAAAAACTAGGTTTTCGTTTTTGAGATATAAAGAAAAATCCAAATACAAGACCCCCCAGATATTTTTGTAACTAGATTAAGGGTTTTTTTGTTACATCTATTATTTGACTACTCTCCAAATACACCTCTAAAGAAAAACCATTTATTTTCGGAGTTATATTGTAAATTTATAATAAATATTTATAAACAAAACAAAAATAAGATGATCTTCCGAATGAGATACCAGAAATGGCTTTTATACACACAAAATTACACAAATTTTAATATTTCCACTCTTCAGAAACGTTCTTTTTACATTTCTACTTATTTTTCTTCTCCAAATGACATTTATTATACCAACTATTAAATTTTAATATTAAATCCATTCATTTTCTTCGCCATTTGATGCGTGATCATTTCTAGAATCTAAACTATCGACATTTTCTTCTGTTACCACATTACTTTCAGTTTGTGTTAACCTAAATGTCTTTTATGGCGACTCTTAAAAAAAATCTGCGATTTTACGAGGCTTTACTTTTATAGAGATTTATACTATGGGGATATATAACTTGTTCTTTCGTTTTATACTTTAGTCAATTTAGAGTAACGCTATCAGCACGAAAGTATGGGTTTTTCTTTTTCTAAGTAGTAAAAGTGAAAAAGTAATGACCCTAAATAATAAAAGTGTTAATAATGTTTGGTCAGCGACATTTGTATTATTGTTTTATATAAGGCGTTCTCCCCGAAATAATTGACCATTATTAGAATAGAAAAACGATTTGTTTCTTGAAAACAGTACAAAGAATATGTGGTATAAGTTCAATACATGGCTTTAGAGTAAAGTTATATGGAGTACGGTCCATGTAATCAAAACGTTTTAAAATACATACATTCTAATGCAATAAAAAAAGTAAAATTGAGTACTTTTATTAAAGTTATTTATTTATTAAGTTAATATTAAAGGTATAGAGAATCACAAATAAAGTTAAATTTGATTAAAAACAAAATTCAGAAAAGTTAAGGTGGCAGTTTAATACGCCCTCCTGGGCGATCGGGAGCCGTTAGATATCTTATATTCAAACCCGTAATGAAAGCGATAAACCAAAAACGTTCTCAAAACTATTTTGCCTAATTTGGGCCGAAGCTTCTGCTACTGACTCGCAGGTGATCGCATTTTGTGCACTCGACGGATATATTGCAGTGATGCCGATATGTCTTATTTTTTTTTTTTTTTCGTAGAAATAGAAATAGTATTAACTCAAAAAGATTTTATTAAAATGCATCTTTGTTTTAAAAATAACGGAATTTGGAAATGAGGCTTAACTTTAGCACTATATGTCAGGCCAATGTAACGGACTGGTGTATTTTTTAATTACGACAAGCGTTAGGGTTTACATGATAATATTAATAGGATATTTTGAAGATGCTCCAAAAAAAATTACTATACTTTTTTATATTTAAATATATTTTTAAAAAGGAGCGACAACCGACGTATTGATTATATGATGTTTTTTGACATTAGTATACCACAAAAATAATATTTGAAAATAACATAATCTAACTATGTACGAAATATACAGTATTCCAATTATTCATTATCTTTCTCTACTTTGCTAAGATTAACCGGTATAGACGAGCTGGTCGCTTACAACATGTAAAAGCCGAAGAAATTAGGAAGAGTCAGTGGCGTCGTGATGTGTGTTAATTATTTAAATATTGGTTAGTTTGTTTAAATTTTTTCTATTCATAGAATTGTTTGGAAAAAAATGACTAACCGATAATTTTTTGTACTTCCAATCAAAGATATTAGAAAATGAATATTTGGAAATAATAGTCAACTTCACACCAATCTGATACTTTTAAAATATTTAAATATTTATCATCATAAACAGTTTTGTTTTTTCTTTCAAGAAAATGGGTTATTTTGCATAGTATATAGGATTTTTTAATTGGGTGAAACAGTGTTTCGATTATTTTGTTCAGATGACTTTTTAAAATAGCGAGTGAACCAGAATTATTACTAATTATACCTTAGCACATTCTCCAAATGTATTTTTATACAACCAATCCTCGTTCTTTCTATTCTAGAGGTACCTAAATATATATTAATTTAAATACCAAACATGTTTTTTTAAATTTATTTTATTTTTCAATAATGAACATAATTATGAACACCAGTTTAATTTATGTAACTAGTTACTTAACACCGGCACCGTAACTGGGCCGAAGGAGGCTTGCCGAATGCTGTACTCGGCCCGATATGCGGGTGCAGCTTCGGCATATAGGTAGGGCATGTCCGCCCAGCCGAATGTCGACAGTCCATTACATTGTAGCCGCGTTCATATATCTATATATAGTTCGGCCCGTAAGGATGCCTCCCATGTCTACAGATCCAAATATGAACCACATGCGGTTTCTACTTCTAAATTACGTCAAATGGTACGGTACTCCCGGCTCAGAGGAAACCACTATTTGTGGTTTACTGGGTGGATTATTTGGACACTTTAGATTACAAAAAATGTTACTTTGTAAGACAAATTAAAAGAAATTTTTTATTAAATACTTACTAAGAATAAATTTCGGATAGGCTGATTGCAAAAAAAAAACATTTCAATTTCTAAAATTAATTATATTAATTAATAAGTGAAATAAAAAAATCATTCTGTACCATCTGTGAATAGATCAGTAAGTCAAAAATTAAAGTTTTTCGGTGTTGCCATTTTAAACATTTTTATGTTTTCGAAAGATACAAATTTTAAGTTGAGTTTTTTTTTAAGAAATAGGTTATTAATTATGCAACCAACAATATAAATAATTATGACCTGCCAAATTATATTACTTATCTATTGATTCACCCCAAATTTGTTTGTTGTTGTTGAATTACTGACTTATTCTAGTTCAAATAAACCGGAAAAACATTTTTTTATATTTTTTTTATTTATTTATGAGAAACAAAGAGAATTTAATCCAAATTTGATTGGAAAAGAAAACTAAAAAACTACTATTCATTTGGAGCACTCGTCCAAATCCGGGGATAGCTATAGTTACCGGTTTTGGCACAAAAAAATTCAAGAAATCCAACTATTCACGGCATCCTCTGAAATAAACTATTGTGAATGTGGATTAACCATTTATTCACCAGACAGAATGGGAAGAGCACTATAGATATTTGTAGATATCTAATTTTTACTAAAATTTGACTTATCCACTTATTCACGGATAGTACAGCATTATTCAAAGCGAAAAAAAGAATTGAAATCAAGTATTTTGACTCAGTGATGAATAATATACGAATAACATTTTAAGCAAAAAAATATATCTCCGTCTTTCGGCGGTAAATCAAAGAGGTCGATTTGTTGATGTTTTTAGCTAGTTGACTTCCCGGTAAAAATTCGTTTTGTACACCAATTTTTTTCGAGTATTTCAAGCAGTGGCCGACCTTTTTTTCCATCTGCGGTATTCTTTTATAGTTGACTTATTGTTTATTATTGTTTATTATGTGCCTAGATCATTTTATATATTTATCTCTTTTTAACAAAATTCTTATATGACGTAACTAAATTCGAACCACACTTGGCGGTGATTGCGGAAAAGTTAAAACTCATTTTGGCGACCGCTGTGAAGTTTTTTTGTTGTCGGCGGTATACCTATATGGCATTACCGCTTTGAAACCGAGGATACAATTTTCTTCAACAAAAAATATGTTTTTCGTTTTCGGCATGTCATGAAACAAACCGCAAAAGGAACAACGCAAATCACACAGAAAACTAAATTTAAACAATAATATACTAAAATATATTAATGTATATACCAGGTATCCCATATGTTTCTGGATAACTGATATTTTCATTGATCAAAATATTTTTCAAATCACTAGATGGAATTTGTATTAAAAGTTTGTTGATAAAACAAAATTAGCAAACCGTATTTCTCTGTCTAGAAACTAAAATAATAAAAAAATCTATTTCTGAATATCACACTGTTGTGTTGTGAAAGACTCATTAGCGCACAGTTTTTGCCAAAAAATTACATTCCGACTGAATTAATGATCATTGGACATATAAAAATTAATTATGTTGCATGAAAACCTATTGATTAAAATGTATTCAATATTATTGTTATTTGTTCGCAATTACGCGTTTATTAATTAATGCAAAACAAAATTAAATTACGAAGTTATATAAATTTTAACAATATGCGAATGTTATTGCGTTTATAAATTGAAATAACTTTATTAAAATTACAAATTGGTCTAGTTTTATTTAGATATTAGTATTTTTTTGGGTAAAAGGTCCAGGTAGTTCAAAGGGTGTAAAGAAACTGGTCAGATGCCAACATTATTATCGGCTACAATGGTTAGGTTATTATTTTATATTATTTTTTGCTCTATATCGATTCTAAACGATATTAATAAATAAAACGAAGGTTTTAATGTTTAATTGACCTATATTTATTAATAAAAAATATAGATATACAATTGTATCTAACATTATTCGTAAAAATGTTCATCTTCGCTTTCTGAAGTATTACCACAGCTTATACAATACAGCTAAAACACTCTCTTGGCGGCAACGGTTTGCGTCGATTTCGTAGCGCATCGCTTAAGCTCCGCCTTCGAAGGGAAAAGACGGTTTTGGTGTTCAGAAGCGTACTTAGGTAAGGTGTTGAGTCGTGCGTATAATTTCGTTGATTGTATAATTTCGTGGAGCCTATAATTTCGTTGATTTTGTTTGAGTTAAAGGTACTGTTATTATTTTGGTGACTCTTTAGCTATGAGTAGAATGAGTGAAAAAAAAGACATCATTCTGTTTGTGCAGTCAAAAGCTGTTTTAATAAGGGTTATACC